TGGGTTCGAAACTCCGTAGAGTACGAATTTAATTTCTCTAACCTGTATTGTTTGTATAAAATTATTAATTATGCCCACTATTATCAAGATTCTACTACAGAATACAGGGATAGGACTGTCTATTCTGTCTGGCATATATTTATAATTCTTTGTAATAAAAAAAAATCCTAAATACCTTGATTTCTTTCACAGGAATCTGGAACGACAGTGTGTGTGTATATATATATATATATATATATATATATATATATATATATATATATATATATATATATATATATATATATATATATATATATATATAATCAATTAAAGTTTGTTGACTGAGTAGGACAACAGTTACCATTGTACATATAGGATAAAACTTAACACTGTACATATAGGATAACAGCTTACACTGTATATATAGGATAACAGTTAACACTGTAGATATATAGGATAACAGCTAACACTATGTAGGTTAATAGTATTTACAATCGATAATAGTTGTGCAACGATAAACTAGTATATTGTGATTTGCCATTCTGGCAGTTCTTGCTGCAAAGCGACTTTTTGTAGCGCTTTTTTTTTCACGGTCTTGATATCGATTTAGAAATTTGTATTCCTCTCAACTGTCCTATTTAGTTGAATAGCCATATCATCTTTTTTCTGTTACATAACACGCTTTTACAAAATTGCAAGTGAATGTAAAACGCGCTGCACAATATCATTATTTGGAATTTCGGCAAATTTTAAAGGGGGATGGCAAGTGAAGACTGGGGGATGCTTTCCCAGTTCAAAATAATAATTTATAAATTTCACCGTGCGTCAGATGTTTATGTCCTGTTCCTAAGGATGCTATATGAACAGGATTCAATCAAAACTTCACTGACTGAACCACGAAGTTGACTTGCTTAGGAATGAATCCATAATAATGTTGGACGAGGATCTTTGAAATGGTGGAAAGCTCATCAGTACATGTTTCCACTCCGAGCACAAGTATCCAGGAAAAAAGCTACGCACTCCTGAAACTTCTGTGTTGTCGGAGAGAGTGTTTATTACAACAGAAGACATCGGCACCACACAGATGTGTGATTTGCTTCATGATAAATATGCAGCGGCTTATATAACGTCTTGCAAAACAAAACTTAAACTTTAAAAGCTAATTCAAATGTGCTGAGACACTTAAAACAATGTTCCTATGAACATTAAAACCATGAAAGACTGGACATGGCAGTGAGAGTTTTATTTGGTAATAATTCTACTGCTTATGTGTGTTTGTAGACTTGCTTATTGGTCAAAACGTTTTCACATGGCGTTTCGACTTTTCTCACTGGTAATCAGATCATTGGCGAAAAATCCTAAGAGTGTTCCGATTGTGAAATGTTTATGGCTCTGTAACACACTTCAATTGGAATACCCTTTGCACTATTAATTTTCACACGAAGGGATAGTTGATATTGTATCTTTTGTAAGTTTTAATTGCAAACACAAACTACATAGTAATCCAATTCTATAGAACATGTGGTGCACCAAGATGCGTTTTTTTTTCTTTATGTTTACTTCATTTTCTATCCTTCCGTGTATTCCTTGCTGTCGTATGCGGATCTTCTTACTGCTCTCCCTTAAGCAATGGTTAAATCAATTTATATTACATTTTGTCTACTGCAAGCAAATTCTGAACTGATTTAAAAAGTCTATCTCCAAAACTATACGAGATATCTGAATTAATGTAATTAAAATCTAAAAGTATACAATATATTTTATAAAGTATGTAATATATATGATAAAATTTGTGATATACTTTCTACAGTGGATCATGTGTTGATGTCATGGTGTTGTCCATGTTTTCTTGATAAATTATAAAATAAACAACATCAAACTATGAGGTGCCGTAGCGGTCATCCAATGCAAAAGTTGCATTGAAATTTCGATGTCGTATGTGGTGATCGAAGCCCTAATACACACGTTGTATGCAACTGTTTGTGATAAAGGTTCCATTTCACATGGCGAGTATTTAGATCTAATATTTTGAATTTCACAGCAGCGAGAACCAGCCTCCTTGTTAAAAAATAACGCAGTCGGTTCACGAGAACGACCTCTAGCGAAGACATTCATAGTAATTCTCATCCTGTGAATGGTAACTTTCAAACTGGAAATGCATGAAATATAATGGCGGCTCATAATTGAATACATGAATGGTGTATCTTAATACTCGATATTATTTTGAATTGTTAAAGTGGGCATTGTGTAATGCTCCTTTTAACAATAACACATCATTTCACCATATAAAAAATAGTGATTCTGATAAATATAATAAAAGTCCAACTACCGCTGTGAAATTCAACAGATACAATCAATAAACTCAATAGACGAAATGGAACTTTCAGCACAACCAATGTAATTAACATGTTGAATTGAAGCTCTCGATATATGACTTTAAAATTTCAAAAACCGCTGTGTAATTAAGAAGATACAATCTAAAAACTTTACATTGGACATCTAATTTTCACCCAGCACTATGAAATTCAGCAGATGAATCCTAAATGCTCAACATATGAAATGGAACTTTCGACATAAACTCTTTGAACCAATAAGTAAATTAGGAATTCTCGACGTATGACATTGAAATTTCAACCACCTCCGTGTAATTCAAAACGACAAAATCCAAAACCTCGACCTATATAACTTTCAGCCACTACTGTTTAATTTAACAGATACAATCTAAAATAACGACCTAGAAAATGGACATTTAAGGACAAGCATTATTGATATAACACGCAAAACTGGAATTCTGAACATGTGACATTCAAATTTTCAACGGCAACATTCTGTTTGGGTCAGCTTTTGTCCTGTACGGCGCCTCATACCAAAGAGTAAACTGTGTAACCGGTTTCGCTTTATTGCTTGATCAGAGTCGAAGAAGCAATAAAGCAAAACCGGTCACACCTTCTACGTTTTGGTGTTTATTATTATTATTATTATTATTATTATTATTATTATTATTTTTATTATTATTATTATTAATATATATATATATATATATATATATATATATATATATATATATATATATATATATATATATATATATATATATAATTGCAATGAACTGACAACGAACAGTACGAAACTAGTAACTAACTAGCCTAAGAGCTTTCGACTCTTAATGAGTCTTTTTCAAAGGCAAATACAAAACATATATACGACAAACAAATAAACACAAAAACGTTGTGTTTGTAAACCTCTACATGGCTGTCTTCACATGTGCTAAAACTATAAATACAACCAGCTTGTATAGACTAGTTGCGGAAACTGAAAACTTTGTATAATTCCCTAAAAGTCTACAAGCCAAAGCGACATCTATTTTTACTTTTTGTACATATGTAACGCAGATTATATCCCGGATATTTGATTCTATACCGGTTATTCTTATAGTAAAAATTGAAGGATAATAAGAAGATTTAGAAAATGTTAAATTCTACTAGTGCATAGTTTTCATTTTCTAGTCTTCTTGGTTTAGATCGCTTGGTTTCAATGTTCTAAGGCGGCGTATCCAGTATGATTCCTTTTCCTTCCTGGTTTCGGAACTCCAGCTGTGGTTGTTAGCAATAGCGATAAGTATTATATCACTGAAAGTGTGGCCAGGAGAGGAGAAGTGTTCTGCGACCGGTCTTCTGTCCAGCTTTTTTTTGTCATCCAATCAGATCTATGAAGGTTTATCCTTTTGTGTAGCTTTTCAGTTTCTCCAACGTACTGAGGGCCACAGATCTTACATGTGATGAGATAAATCACATTCTCAGTTTAGCACGTTTTGTTTGGACCATATATGTTTAGTTTTTCTTTAGTCACTGTGCTAGTGATAAAATACTTATCGCTATTGCTAACAACCACAGCTGGAGTTCCGAAACCAGGAAGGAAAAGGCATCATACTGGATACGCCGCCTTAGAACATTGTAAAACCAAGCGGTCTAAACCAAGAAGACTAGAAAATGAAAACTATGCACTAGTAGAATTTAACATTTACTAAATCTTCTTATTATCCTTCAATTTTTACTATAAGAATAACAAGTATAGAATCAAATATCCGGGATATAATCTGCGTTACATATGTACAAAAAGTACAAATAGATGTCGCTTTGGCTTGTAGACTTTTAGGAAATTATACAACGTTTTCAGTTTCCGCAACTAGTCTATACAAGCTGGTTGTATTTATAGTTTTAGCACATGTGAAGACAGCCATGTAGAGGTTTACAAACACAACGTTTTTGTGTTTATTTGTTTGTCGTATATATGTTTTGTATTTGCCTTTGAAAAAGACTCATTAAGAGTCGAAAGCGCTTAGGCTAGTTAGTTACTAGTTTCGTACTGTTTGTCGTCAGTTTATTGCATCTATTTCAATTAATCCCTGACACACGTGATCTTTTGGTGGATCCAGTACGCTTGAAAGGGTTGTTATTCGCCATATGATTTGTATTCTTTATATATATATATATATATATATATATATATATATATATATATATATATATATATATATATATATATATATATATTTGTGTGTGTGTGTGTGTGTGTGTGTGTCTGCAGTGTGACAGCTTTTAATGGTGTCTAGCATTAATGCATCATGCCATAGGCATGTAACATCACGTGCCACTCAAACACATTACTCTGACGCCAGGCCGACAAGTCTTAACACAAACCTCTTAATCTGAGCTCCTAACGAGGCAGATGTAAGTACCATTTTTATAAGTCTTTGGTAGGACTTGACCGGTGTTGAAACCCGCGACCTCCCGCAGCCGAGACGGAGGCTCTAACCACTAGGCGAGAGAGAGAGAGAGAGAGAGAGAGAGAGAGAGAGAGAGAGAGAGAGAGAGAGAGAGAGAGAGAGAGAGAGAGAGAGAGAGAGAGAGAGAGAGATTGCATGATATATCTTGTAAACTTTGTAAGATGTCAATAAATAAAATACCTGAATATGTTGTTAATATCTTTTATAAACAAAAAACAATCAAGAAATGTACTGCTCCGGTGGTCTAGTGGTTAAAGCGACCGCCTCGGAAGCGGGAGTTCGCGGGTTCGATACCCTGCCGAGTTATACCAAAGACTTACTAAAATGGTGCTAACAGCTGTCTCGCTTGGCGCTGAGCATTAAGAGGTTAGTGTTAGTACTAGTCGGCCTGGTGTCAGGATAATGTGACTGGGTGGGACATTTTGCTACATGTCTGCGGCATGATATCCCAGTGCTAGACATCACTCATCACTCTAAACTGTTACAATGCAGACATATCGGTATGACTGAAAAATTGTTAAAGCTACGTTAAAAATCCAAATCGCAACCAAATTACAATCAAGAAGTATTACATAGTTTTTACGATATCGTATATAATTTGCTCATATATGGGACCTAAATATTCCCTTAAAATTTGAAATAAGATTTTTTTTTTCAAATGTGCAGTTTATTTAAATATTTTAATGAGAACACACACATCTGTACTTCATGAAGAAAGGCATAAAACAACTATTAAAACAACTAAAACAACTATTCTTCACTGACAATTACTTCATGAAAGCGGGGCCCCGAGTGGCCGAGTGCTCTAAAGCGCTGTCCGTTACGGATCACTGCCATCTCACCTCTGTCTACGTGGGTTCGAGTCTATGATTCGGCGAATGTGGATACGTGAGAAAGCTTGCCAGTAGCTTTTCGTTGGTCGGTGGTTCTTTCCGGTGATTTCCCGGTTTCTACCTCCACCATTAATACTGGTTGCCATGAAGGAGTCACGGTACTAATTCAACTCCCATAGTAAACATATGGAAACACCATCATATTTAAAATTCAATAACTTACAATTTCTGGGTACTGATGATCAGACCTATATTTCTCCATGCACAACTATCCTTGGTACAAGCTTCTGTGTGGAGAACACCATATGAGCCGCGGCATTTTTTTTTTTACCTACATGTGCATGAAGCACATGTTATTGATTCTGCACCAAACGAATCAAGTGATACTTTCATTATTGAGTAATCCTAAGTCAAGTCTTTAAAAATACTAAAATTGCATCAATAGAAATTTGTCTATATCTTTTTAAAAATAACACATAGGATAAGCTTTCAAAAGATATTTTTACTAAAATTTTACTTTTCGTTATTAACCAATTATGGACCACCAAACCCGTATATACTCTATTATTTCTTCACCCATTTCTAGACTGGTTCACAGATCTTCCATATAATTAGTACCGTGTATCCTGAATAGCCTATCGTGTGCTGAAAAATGGCGTTAAGCACAACAACAACTTCATGAAAGCAGTTCAGGTTATTTCACAAAAGTTTGTTATGCTCATTTTTAGACGTTTCACACTTACCTTAAATTCTAAAAGGTTGTGCAGCCTATAGAAGATTTATTTAGCTTATAGACTGTACTAGACATGATTTGTTTTAATAAATATTAAAAAAATGCACAAAACAGCATAATGGGCGTGGATAAGATGTCCATAAATAATAGCTAACAGTTGCAAGATAAATATTATTTAAACGATATCATCATTTGCTTAAGTGCGTGTGAGTGTGTGTGTGTGTGTGTTTTGGATTTTTGACGTAGCTTTAACAATATTTTTTGTCATATCGCTAAGATGTCTGCAGTGTGGCTCTTTATCTATATCTATTACTAGGGCATGATGCTGCAGACATGTAGCATGGTGTCCCACCCAGTCACATTATCCTGATACCAGGTCGAACAGTCCAGTGAGTGAGTGTGATTTAGATTTTTAACGTAGCGTTTAATAATTTTTCAGTCATATCGCTACGATGTCTGCAGTGTGACAGTTTATAGTGATGTTTAGCACTGGGGCATCATACCGCAGACATGTAGCATGATGTCTCACCCAGTCACATTATGATGACACCAGGCCGACCAGTCCTAACACTAACCTCTTAATGCTCAGCGCCAAGCGAGGCAGCTGTTAGTACCATTTTTGTAAGTCTTTGATATGACTCAGCAGGGTATCGAACCCGCGACCTCCCGCTTCCGAGGCGGACGCTTTAACCACTAGACCACCTGAGCGGTACACTTCTTAATTGAAAATTTACAGAAAATTTATTTCTCTGTTAAATGATAGCCACTTAACTTAAATATGGAAATCAGAGTGAAAAATAGTGATGGTGAATGATAAAGCCGGCAAATGCTGTTAAAGCAATATTATAAACGAACCTTAATATAATTACAAAGGTCAATTATTGACTACTTCTTCGATGAGTGCCATTTAGAGACTGGTAATGTCTCATAAGTCAGTGAATTGTATGTAATGTTATGAGGATTGGGATACAGACAGGTTGTTTATAGCCCGAAGTGATCTCTGTATACTCACAATACAACGAGTTTTGTAAAGAAACTGCTCACATTACGGAAGCAATTATTAGCTAAAGAGCTGTTTTTCACGGTGAGTCTTAGGACAGTGGGATTTTGTGTATACCTGGATGCTGCGATCGATATTAAATTTGGCTCGGAAGAGGTAATTACTCCTAAATTTGGGACCAAATTTTCGGCACCAAATGATTTGCTGAGAATAAAGAAGATCGCGGGATCATTTGTTATACTGGGGGTGGGGTAGGATGCGTTGTGGCTAATTGAACATTCGACGAGGGCATTGCAACCGGAAAAAAATCGTACTCATCAACTGGACTCCACGATATTGATATGTTCCATTTTTGAATCAATATTATTCATTATCACAATATGGGTAATGAAATATTCAGTAATGAAATATTGCGATACGAGATGCATTAATTATACGTACATCTTTCTTGTTCATGGACTGTACATTGTTTAAATATTTTTTTTTATAGTGATCACCTTGGCAATAGAGTCATACAATTTTCATATTTGAATATGCATTCGATACATTGTTCATCCATGATGATAGAGCCACAGATCAATCATATTTGTTTTGAAGTTTGATTACTTACCGATGTTACATGTTCTGATTAATTCCAGTAAGAACGATATCCTTTTGTTATACCAGTTTTTGAACTCCGTGCGCATCATTCATTTAATGTGCACGAGTATGGTGTCAGATTCACTCATTGTTCAATTACTTTATAATTTAAAATCTAAATCAGGAAATAACTTTCCGTGTCTACGTTAAATTAAATCCCAACTTGGCTTCTTCCTGCTATAACATGACTTACTAAGTACAGAACAACAACGCAAACGTGTTAGGTTTGACTCTCATTTCTTGAAACTAGAAGTTAGTTGCAGATGATATTAGTGAGTCTACAGAGAATGAGATCATTGTTTCAATTAAAAATAATTTATAAAATAAAGCAGAGTTCACAATTTTTCCTAAGCTGGTTTTAAATATTTAGACAATTTTAGATATGTATTTCACTGCCGGAATAATTATTAATTGTTAATCCGTCCATTCAAGTATTATAACAGCAATTTCTTTGCACCCACAATAATCTGGACATCAGGCCTGACCCTAAGATGTGCGGGGCAATTCAGCAAAAGCGATAAGCGAGGCCCCAAGCAAAAAAAAAAATTGCCTTGCGGAGTTGATATCTTGAAAGCGCGGGGCCCAAGGAGGCTGCCTCGTTCGCCTTGCCCTAGGGCCGGGCTTGCTGGACACGCTTAGTTCTAAACCATTTTCCATAGATGTGGAGTTACATTTGTATTGTCTGCGAGTAAGACACCAGAATCGCTTATCGATTGTCAGATAGTACATAACTGGTTGCATCACACATTATTAGAAATTATAAAACGTTTCAACTGACCTTGACTCAAAATTCCCTCTTCTTAAGATCATTGTATTGTCTGAGGAAACGACGACCCTAAAATTGACGCATCTGGCGCACATTAGAGGCAATCTTGTAGTTTATCTGCGACACCTTGCGTTAGTATCATTTTGGTACGCAAATTATTTTTCTAGCACACGGAAACGTTGCCTCAAAACAAATCTGGCAAACTTATGGAACAGTTGTGGAAGTATTTTGGCGCAGTTCAAGTACAAGTTGACAAGTTTGGGCACACTTACGGTAATTTTGTACACAGATGGCTGGGTTGTGGTTACGTTTCTGTACACAGCTCATGCACATTTCTGGCTTAGATTTGTAAAAGAATACTACGAATCATGAAATTTTGTTAGAAACACGCAAATTGTTTTGCCTTCAGTGTGCGACCTAACTTTTTTTTGGGGTGGGGGTAAAGATTCTTCACCCTATAATTACGTTATGTTAAGATCATAAAATATAATGAGTAACCGACATTCATTACATATGAATGTCTCTACATGATAACTAACTGTTTTGTATAAATAATGTTATATATAACCCAGAATTTGCATTTTGAATTGTCTTATAGCAAATAGTGGTTGGTCACATACAAATGTAATGATGGTGATTTTATATTGCTTATTAGTATGAAAAAACAGAGTAGATATTATTATTTAACATTAGCGATATAAAAGATGTGAAGAGGGAGGGGTAGATACGTTTAGTTAGTCTATAATGTTACGTATATTTAATTTGTATTATGTGTTTGACATTAGTCCACAACTGATGATAGATGTTTGGGCCTACGTGACTAATATCTTTTTTGTAGAAAACATATTACATAGCTATTTTTTTATTTACAATTGTTGATTATACGGTAAAAATGTTATTACTTGTAGGTAAACATGTTTACTTAGATTTAAGTTCAGGACATTGGTTCGCCCTTCGGGAATTCCTAATCTACCTTATTATTGCCAAGTTCTTTATAAACGTTTTAGTAATATACCTGATCTTGGTTATAACTTAAAATACTATGGCATTTAACTATTGATTTCCAATCCAAGTCCACCTCTTGTGTTTTAAGTTTAATATGTTGAGGTTGTTTACATTAGAACTAATTATTCCTACATTAACATTTGTAGTGGAATCAGTCTTTTAGTTGTGTTTAGTTTTAATTTGAGAAACGTATTTATTTAAATTATTCAATGGAATTGCACAATATCCATTAATATTTTTGGACTGGATCACTGTTTTCGGATTATCGTAAATTCATTTAGAGACCTTTTGGATTATACCATTATGATACATCAAGACTGTTAGCACAACATCACTATTCCAGGCTATTGGCACATCAGCATATTTAAGACTGAGTGTGTGTCATTTAGATTGTTAATGTAGCTTTAAAAGTTTTTCCGTCTTAACGCTAAGATGTCTGCAGTATGGCAGTTTACAGAGATGCCTAGCACTGATGCGTCATGCCGGTGACCCGTAGCATCATGTCCCACTCGTATTATCCTGACACCCGGCCTGTCTGTCCTAACACTAACCTCTTAATGCTAAACACCATTTTTATATTTCTTTGTATGACTCGGCCGGGGTTCGAACCCGTAACCTCCCACATCCGATACGGGTACTCTAGCCACTGAGGCCACCAGAGCGGTGTTCAAGATCGGAATTCATTCGGAACACCCCTGGACTTCTCTCGGAATAGTCTATACTTTTGGACTTGTGATAGAACGTTTATTACTATTTTGTGATTTAATTCAGAATACTGTAAGTTCTTTTTAAATTTATGCTTTGTATTCGAGAAAATAAATTATTTGTTAAATTCTACTAATTTTGTTGGTTTTCTGTTGCTTAGTTTAATACCACAGAGTCGTAATAATAAGCATAATGAAAATATGTAAATAAAAAGGTTACAAGGTGCATTAATTAGTTAAACTAAATTTAATATGTCACTATCTATAATAAAATTATTATTATTATTATTATTATTATTATTATTATTATTATTATTATTATTATTATTATTATTATTATTATTATTATTATTATTATTATTATTATTATTATTATTATTATTATTATTATTATTCGGCAAATAATACAGTAACTGCGTTCACGCCACATCTAAAATTGTGATTTATTTGCATTTCTAGGCCTTTATATTTGCCGAAACATTTTAAATAGATTTCTTAGAAATCTGAGTAGGTTACCGAAGACTGAATTAACTTTCAAATAATAACAGATTTAATCAGTTTGCTGCAACCATGTAAAAATATATAGAGAATAATCAAAGGGAATTTTACTTCTCGATTTTACTTATTTCATACCTATCCATTTCACTCATTATTTGCATAACCAAGTACTTCTGGATCTAAAATTAACCATACTAATGATAAAACTATTTTTATCTTAGTATTAATTATCGACGATATATCTCAATTTACCACTGAATAATTCCATCAAATGATATTTCAAGGCTCAATATGAAGTCGCATGTTCTTACGGTAAACTCGTAATATGGCCGCCTCTATTATGCTGCCCTCGTTTTATCACGCACTTTACGTGATGTCAACGAGAGCCTTGAATCTCGCAGCCAGTTGCCAGTCTCGTGTGTCCCTGAAATTAACACTTATTTATCGTCTGAATATATGTAATCTATGAAATATACACTAAGTCATGCATAAGAAAACTTAATAAAAATCCAATGCAATTAACAATATAATTATTTTAGTTTACATTTCCTTGAAACCAGATCAACAGAGTCCTTATCTTTCAATTTGATTAATGAATAACATAAATCGGTTGAGCAAAACGATTTGCAGAACTCAAGATAGACCTTTTGTTGAATTTATTTTCTTTTATTATTTTCAGTTTTGATTTTCATCTAAGTCATTATAGCAAGCATATTAAGTCATTATAGCAAGCATATTACACATTGTGTTTACACCTTACGGAGTATTGCTCATTGTGTATACACATATGCGTTGTGTAGACAGTACGAAATATTGTGCACTGTTTTATACATATCAATATCATTCATTGTGAATACACATTAGAGAATATCGTGCACTGAATATACGAATTATGAAATATTGAGCATTGTGTATACACATTAAATACTTTTGTGCATTGTGTATCACAGAATATTGTGCAGTGTAAATATGTATATATATATATATATATATATATATATATATATATATATATATATATATATATATATATAACGGAATAAGTGCATTATGTAGTCACATGACCGAATATTGTACACTGTGTATACATATCAATATTGTGCATTGTGTATACACATTACGAAATATCGTGAATTGTATGTACACGTTACGGACTCTTGTGCATTGTGCAGAAACATTACGGAATATTGTGGTGCATTGAATTTTACATCATGTCTATATGACCATTTCTTTTAAGCAGATCCTTACTGTGTAACAATAAACCATTCTTAATGAGATCATCGTGAATATTAATAAATCGCGGAAACGAGGCTAAGCTAAGCTGATCGCAACTATACTGCATATACTATATTATGTAGATTCCTTTTGCGAGAGAATATTTTATATCGATAGCGGCTGTAATTGATGTAATGTATTTTGTAGAGATTGTTTCCTTTTGCGTAAGAATATTTTATAATTTAGAATTACCACTGTATATATTATGATGTGGCGTCCTAATGCACATCGAACAACGATCTGAGCTGTTTGCCAGATATTTTTTTTTGCATTCGTCGAGAATTTCATCATGGGTGTCTCCAGCAGTTCAGGGAAGGGACAAATGACAAAAGGATTCAAGTATTACAGTGAGGATATGTCCATTCTCTTAAACGTATTTACGTCCTAACTTGAGTGTCCTTTTTCTCTACAGCACACAAAATACAAGTTAGCGATAGAGAAAAGAATCTAAGGCATGAATTTTGTTTCTTATTACATATGGTTTAAAGCTATGATCAATCCATAATGTGGTCAAAACACGGTCATAATAAAACATTTACAACATGTGCATAGTGACACAAATTGCCCTTTTAACCAACCACGCCAACCCCGCAAACCAGTAAAGACTTTGTTGTGTGCTTTAAATAGTTTTCGGTAAATGTCGGAATTCTTGCATTTATTTTTTTTTTTTTGCATCAGAAGTGCACAACCTGGTTGTTGTTATGTGGCTTGCTGCTTTTAGTGCCTTGGGGTGGGAAGAACTTAGATATTCCCTTTCAATGTCATTTTTTCTTTTCTGAACCATTTTTCAACTGACAATATGGATATATGATTATATATTTACCCACAAAACAGCAGTTATATATTTACCCACAAAACGGCAGGATTATTTGTTCAAAACTGTTTGAAAGCCATTAACACACACACACACACACACACACACACACACACACACACCCTGCCACCAAACACACAAATTAGTCCCTTTTTTGTGAACTTCTTAGTTGATTATAATTAATAATTTCCTAGATGAATGAATTTTAACACCCACTCTGTAAATGCAGACATTATATAGAGTAAACATATTAGGGAAGAATCGTGTCTAAACAATATAAAATTTTGTCATTTTATGTATTGGATATTATGTTGATCTGTTTATTAAAGTAATTATCTCTTTAATTTTAACAAAACCTTCATCTGCCATAATTTGGTCCCCTGGTTCTAACAAATCTATAAGCTGGTGCCTAGCTTAGACTCCTTTTGGATTCGTTAACCCAAGATCACATGAATACATGAATACATTCTGAGAATGTTCTATATTAACTTAATTTAGACAACATATCGGTATAAAGTTACTAATTAATACCAAACCTTTGCTATTCGCCGGGAAGGATTGAATATCAATAGGATTTACTACAAGAGATAAGCCACTTGTAATTTGGCGGCAGAACTTAGAGGTAGATTCTAAGGAAAGACAAGACTTCGGAAAGTCAGTAAGTTATTTGCTTGTATTTTTACAGAATATTACGGTATTATTTTGTAATTATTTGTATTATGTACACTTAATTACTAAGATCGTTTAGTATGTAGAATTACCTTTGTAGTGTTTCATTTACAAGTACATTGGATAAATGGGTTTGAGCATACGTAGAGAATTATTAGATGCGTAGCGAAATTATGTAGATTGTTAGCTTGTGGTCAGAATTAATTTTGTAATTCGTTATTAGGTTACTTAGTAGTAAACCAGATCATTCAGTAATGCATTTTTTTTTTTAGAATTTACACATGTTTGAATTGTGTATTTGGAAAAGATTAGTTACTATGGATATTTTAATAGTTGCTTACTTTATATGAGTCATAAGGTAAAGAAATGCGTCTGATTAATGTGATATTGTTTAGTATAACGAGATAAGGAATATTTACTGATGTGACGGAATTTATTGCTGTATGTATAAGAAGTAATTAGTACCGTGCTGTATTATCACGTTTGTTTAACCATACAAGAATGTATGTTTATATCGATGTGAACGAATGCGCCACCGGATAAATTTAATAGCAGTTATCTGATGATTGGCTGTGTGTAGTATGAGATAAGAGGGCTAAGGAAGAAGATTATACCGTCCTTGTGTTTTCACAGGAAGCTTATTAGGGGACAGAGAACTTCCGGTTCCATTGGGTCTCGAGTCTTCAAGAGCTGGAGACAGAATTAAGACTGCAGCCGAGACAGTCGAAGTCAACAGAAGTGTGGTTTTGTTGGATAAAGTAGAGGAGAAGGAGTAGGAGTCTAGAGGAAGAAGGAGGAGAAAGAATTTGGAGAAATGTCGGGGAGGAAGAGGAGATGGAATTGAGGGAAATAAGAGAGAAATGGGATACAACAGATGAATAGATATACAAGGACAGGTGGAAATCAATCACACTGTAAATCAAGTGATTCAATAGCTTTTTCAAAGATTCGAGCGGAAGGAGTGTAATTGGAAATTTGAGTCATTACATTATTGAATTGTTATTCGTTAAATTTCAACTTTTCTCTGCATTTAACCATCTAACCTTCGGCGTTTCTGACTGGGGCTCGGAGCTTTACATCTATTTTTCACTAAGTTTAACTTCCAACAAAATAGAGCCCGGGTGGGACTTTTATAATAGTTTAAATAAAATAATGGGAGCACCCCACCCCAATCATATAGTTCGTCACATTATTAAAAACAAAGCAGGGAACGGTTTAAAGGAAACGACAGGATTTAAACATCTTTCTCCAAACTGTTGAATAGTATTTAGCAATTAGCTGTAATGCGCTATCAGCGGCTAACAACAAATATCGGCACATTAGAAACAAACATTGCGAATGATTCATCTACGTTTGTCATTAAGGTTAATATCACCGTGTTGTCAAGGAAATATCAATATCATCCAAGCTCCATCAAATAGGTCCAACTTATCTCAAATAAACCCTGTGAATATCAATTGAAATAGTCCACCTTATTTTAAAGCATATCGCTTTTCACTCTTTCATCAATTTACCAGTAATACAAACTGATGTTTTATGTAATTACCATTATGCACGATTACTCTGATCCAATTTTATTCCTGCACTCATAATATATCCCTTGAATATATTCGTTATGTACAACGCAGGCGCACATAAATGAATTTGGAAATCATGATTTCGTATATTTACTGAAATATATCTGCTTCAAGTGCTTAACTCCA